TCTCTCTCTCTCTCTCTCTCTCTCTCTCTCTTACTTAGGGCAAGGTCTTGGTGCATATCCCACTGGACTGGAACTTGCTGTGTGTGATCTTGTTTCCTGATCGGCACTGAGATCCTGAGCATGGACCACTGTGCCTAGCTAGTACCTATGTTGTCCACTACATCTGCTCTTCCTCCTCCTCCTCCTGCTTTTCTAAAGATTTTTTTTTTTTAAAAAAATGTGTGTGTGGGTGTTTTTCCTGCATGTATGTCTATGTACCACCTATGTGCCTGGTACCATGAAGATCAAATGAGGGCATCAGAGCCGATGGAACTGGAGTTACAGACAGTTGTGAGCGGCCGCGTGGGTGTTGAGGATCAAACCTTGGTCCTCTGGAAGAGCGGGCAGTTCTTTTAACTGCTGGACGGAACCGTCTCTCCAGTTCTGGGCTGCTTTCCTGCCCTGCACCTCTATTTTGTTTCCTGATGTTTCTTGCAGGTTCTACTGTTTGTATCTGTCATTTCCTTTAACGCTCCCTGCTGCTCCTGCCCATGGCAGACCTGTGCCTATAGCAGAGAGCTCTCTGGTCTGGGGACTGACAGGAGTAGATGGCCCACGGGAGCCTGGACTACAGCAACTCCCTTACGGGTGGTCCACAGCTGATGGGACAGACACTCATCCTGCGTGGGTGAGTAGAAAGGGAACAAGAGCTACCACAGATGTGCAACCGGGCGCTTCAGGGTTTTTGCTGGCCAGGATTTCCCCCTTTTCGAACCTGGTTGCTTCTCTGGGGCCAGGTCTCCTCACCTTCAGCATGGTCGCCATCAAGAAACTCCCTGTGTTACCAACTGGAGCGCCACAGGGTCAAGAGCAGCTGTTGGCATTCCACCCACCCACGCCGCAGCACCCAGTCGTTACAACCACCCATGCCCTAGAGATGGCCACACGACCCTGAGCCTCAGAACCCTGCTGATGAGTCCAGTGAATCCCGGTGTTCTCAGGCGGGAGGCCGCTCTCCTCTCCTCACACATCTCTCCACCCTCCCCATGTCACGGTAGGAAGGACTTGGACTTCAAAGTCACGTGGGTCATTCTCATGGGTTCTTCTCCGTAGCCCTCAGGAAACCCGATGTGGAACTCGTGAGGGATGACGAGGACTCTGACAAACCAGGCCTGCCCTCAAGTCCTGAGGGGACACAGTCACTTCTTTTCTGGCCACAGACCTGGAGCTTCCTGGAGGCCTGCTTTACCGGAAAAGCACTGGCCTCTCCAGGAGGTGACCCTGGGAGGGCCGGACAGGACTTACCCTTGGGTCCCTGTCGTCTCTAAATAGAGGAACTTAGGGACACCGCAGAGACACATAAACTGGATGTGGTGCTTGTCACTTGGAGTGGTCTCTCTGACTGAAGAAGTGAGCACACCTCTTTATGACAGTGCTAAAAAATCAGTGTTTGCAGAGGTTGCTAAAGAAACCCAAGGAGTGTCGAATCTGAAATAGCCCGTCTAGACGCACTCCCACTGTCTGACCTTTGATGCATTTCTTAATCCACCGACCTCGCCAGCAAATTGGTGAGTAAGCAGCGACTCACTTTACACGCTGTCATGAGGCTGACGAGGCCCAGGTCACTGTTATAAATTTCATTCTGGCTGCTCCGAGGCGCGGCGGCCTTCGCAGCACAGCTCCTGTGTGGTTTCTGAGCTGTGATGTGTGTCTGGGTCGCCATGAACTAATTTCAAGTCTGTTGAGTCCAAAAGCCACAGAGCTGCCGAAAAAAAAAACAGAGCTCACTCTCAGCCAGCAGGACCCCAGAGTTTACATAAAATGAGGCGAGGAAGGCTGGAGACAGGCTCTGCTGAAAACCAAACAAAAAGCCGGTGATGCTCACGTCCAGGCTGAGCCTCACCCTGGAGAAGGGGCCAGGGGCGCCTGCGCAGGTTTGCTTAGCAAATAAAACCCTGGCTGCACTTGTGGGGCCCCGGAGCCCAGTGGCGGGGCCTCCCGCCTCGCCTGCCTTCCTCTCGCGCCTCTTTGGAAGGCTGTCTGAGCGGCTGGGCTGCAGCTATACGCAGTGGGGCTCAGGGGCACGAGACCAGTTTGGCTCCAAACAGGCTTAACAAATACTGACTTCATAGAACTGGAGACAGGTTTACTGTGTTCCGAGCCTTACGGTTTGGGTTTTGGGAACTAGGAGGTTGGGCTTCTTGCTGGCTGGAGAGTTCTGAACTAGGGGGCTTGCCAGGTACCCTGTGAGCACCTCAAGAGCAGGCAGAGATGATCATGGGAGCAGGAGGCTGGATTACCCAGCCAGGGTGGAGGTGACAATTTGGAGGAAACAGGATCCATGGGAGGCCAGAAACTTCTGGCAAGATTGGCAAGAGAAACAGAGACCGGTGAGGCCTCCTTCACAGGACTCCTGTGGTCAGATTCCCTGGGGCAGACTCTGGCTCTGCGCTGGAAGCCAGCCACCTACTGGGAAGGAGGTAGCTTTGCTGAAGGGTGCTGGGAGCCTAAGCCTTCTCCACAGGGGTGAGAGCCCATCACCAAGTATACACAGCCCTTGGGCCAAATGAGGAAGTGAAAGCCACACCGTGGACCTGCACAGAGAGATCTGGCATCAGATGCCCCAAAGTCAGTATGCCATAACGTTCCAGGTGTTTCAGGGAACCCTTGTCATAGCACATAGAGTTTTGTAAACACCCTACACGGAAGTTTTCTCCTCCAGTTTGCTCACCAGAGGGGGAGCTTCAAGGACCAACATCAAGAGTCCTTTAGCAAATGCCAGGCCACCAAGTGACAGAAATGTGGTGCGTGGCTCATGAGCTGCTCTTGGCTAGATTATGAAGCCCTTGCATGGTCCCCGTCCTCCACGTGTGCCAGCTCCTTGGGATTTGGAATATGTTGTATCTCTACCCTTCACACTGTGGTCCTCTTAAGACCTGGGGTCCCCTGTCACCTGTGTGCCACACCCGCTATCCCCTTAGAATCCCCTGGTCCCCCTACACTGTCAGTGCCAGCACAGCATGCCAGGACCTTCCAGATGGATGCACCCAGCAGCTCTGTCTCTTAAGCCCTCACAGAGCAGCGTGAGCCATCAGAATAAGGAGAAAATGCCTCCAACCATTGCCCACTGTATTTTTGGTCAGTTCTCCTAGAGCTTTCTGAACCCTTAAGGGTGTCTACTTTCTTGGAGTGGGATGTTCTGAAGCAGTTTATGGCCCAGGATCCCCAGGAAGTTGTTGTGAGCTTGAAGGTTCCTAAGGAATATGGCACACTTCTTTGGAAGGCCAGATGATGCCCTGGGATCCCCCAGTGTCTCATTCCTGTGGTGCCGTGGTGCCCAAGGGCAGATCATTCAAAGAACCCTGAGTGTGCCTGCCATGGCACCTGCCTGGCGTCTGCCACACCTAAGGAGCTCTCACCTGTCTCTTGCCTCACTCCTAGTGCCTTGCTATGTCCGAGCCTGTCTGAGGGGCTGCGCAGAGTGTGGAGACACAGGAACACCCAGGAACCGCTTTCCTGACCCTCAGAGGGTGGTTTGGATGGAGTCTTAGCCACAGGAGCCATGGCGGAGAGACTTCATTTGTGTTACCAGCCTCACTTCTCCTCTCCTAATTAACTCTTAATGAAGCCGATACTCAGAGCTTTGGGGTCCACTTAGTAAAGCCCAAATCAAATCCTCATATGAGATGAGTGGCCCCATCTCAGCCACTGAGGCAGGGGATGTGGCAAAGAATCTTGGTGGCACCACATGTGTGGTACTTCGTTTCATTCTCAGGGAGATCTCTCTCTCTCTCTCTCTCTCTCTCTCTCTCTCTCTCTCTCTCTCTCTCTCTCTCTCACTCTCTCTCTCTCTCTCTCTCTCTCTCTCTCAGTGGATTCTCTATCCCCCAGAAGCAGATTCTCCAGCCCCTAGAAGTAGATTCTCCAGCCCCCAGATGTGACTTCTCCAGCCCCCAGATGTGACTTCTCCAGCCCCCAGATGTGACTTCTCCAGCCCTCAGATCTGTTGATACTTAAGAGTCTCCCAAAGTGCCCTCCCATCTCCCAGATGTGGCTCTTCCACTCCCTCCCCACTGAAATGACCCCTGTATCCCTCACTGTGATTCTGCCATCCTTCAGAAGTGACTCCTCTGTACTCCAGATGTGGTTCCTTCATCCCTCAGGGATAACTCCTCCATTCTCCAGACACAGTGTTCCTACCCCTCCAGAAGCTGCTCCTTTACCTCCTAGCCATGGTGACTCCACTCCAAAGATGTGGCTTTTCCATCCCTAGACACGAGTCCTGGTCCAAGAGGACACCTCCTCTTTAAAAGATTACATCTATTTATTTATTTATTTATTGTGTGTGTGTGTGTGTGTGTGTGTGTGTGTGTGTGTGTGTGTGTGTGTGATGGAGAAGGGGAACCATGCATGCCACATCACCCATGGGGAGATCTCTGGATAGCTTGAATGAGTCAGTTCTCTCCCTCTGCCATCTTGGCTTGGGGGGTTGCACTCAGGTAGTCCATTTTATAAACAAGTGCCTTTACCCACTGAACCATCCTGATGGTCTGGAACAGTCCTTTAGTGGAGTAGGTAAGCAAATGCTTGTCACGAGCCCTGGACAGTGGCTCCTTTTCCTGGTGGCCTGGCAGCCTCCAGCATCGGGGCAAAAGCTTGTAAACTGAAAAAGTAGGAAGCTATGGACAATGCTTAGGTGTGCTGATGTGGGCCAGTGACATCACCTGTACCTGGTAGTCAAGTAGAGGGAGGGTCTATGGCACTGGACTTGCCTCAGTATCCCTCAGTCCACCTAGGATTTCAAAAACAGTCGGAGAGGGGTATCAGATCTCTTGGCAGCCAGAGTGTGTGGTGGTCATTTATGTGTAGATGACCTCTGAGGAACAGTGTCTGAGGACCCCAGGCTTCACATTGGAGGAGGTTGATTCAACATCAAAGAAACACAGTTGCTTTCTTCTTGTACCAGGAAAATGGTACATGGATCATATTTTTGTGCTCCCCCAAAGGCCTGGAGATACTATAATTCAGGCACCTGCTTTCTTATTCGAGGACTTGAAGCAGACAATTTTTAGGGATAGCTTAGCAACTTGGGATCCCCAACCTACATCAAGTTACACAGACACATACCTACCAAACAAAGCAATTGGTCACTTGGCCACAACAGCTCCTAGAATACCCATGTAACCTCTAATAACATCTCCTTTGTGGCTAAACATGTCCTGGAATATAACCTGAAATTAGAGTCAGTGTGTTGATCCAGTGTGGACTATTTTTAGGTGCATGCCTCCTAAGAGGACCTGTGTCCTCTGAGTAAACTTTTAGGGAACCCCTCACCCCCATTTAGTGTCTCGTGGCTATGCATGGTTGTGCATGCATGCTATTGAAATCAGATGCATTGTGGGAAAGGACCTGGGAAGTAGTGGATAAAGGCTTACATAACCCAAGTGCATTCATCATGAGTGTATCAGAGCACACACACCCCTCCCCAGCCCTGCCCCTAGCAACCACCCATCTCTTCTCCCCCAAGAGAGTCCTGAAAAGTGACCTAGAGCTCATAGGAAAATCTTTGCATCTTATGTACTCTGTACTTTCACTTTGCTTCCGAATAAAACCCCTTGCCTCCTGGTTTGTGGTTGTACTTTTTCCAGTTCTTTGAACAAGATGCCAAAAACCTGGAAACGCCCGGTGCAGACTCTAGCAATAGTCTTTGCAGATGTATCAGAATCAGCTCATTATGGAAGGCCCTAGTCTGCGACTAGTGTCCACTGAAGAGGGATGCATGGGTTCAAAGAGCTACCCGGAAGAGACTGGGACAATGTGACCACAAGCCAAGAGCTGCTGGTAACCATTCAGACTGAGGCAGGCAGGGAAGACGTCCCTGGGGCATCCAAGGAGTGCAGCCGTGTCCACATCTTAATTTAGACTTCTGCTTTGGACCGTGAATGTCAATCTGAGGTCTGATGAAGTAAGCCTGTGGTTCCAGTAACTTGTGAAACTGAGGCAGGAGGTTTGAGCAACACTGTGAGAGCTAAAAAAATAAAGGGAAAAACCACAAGAAAGTCTTGTTAGTTTGCTGTTTGAAGCCACCCAGTTCGTAGTAATTTGGAGTTTCTATAGTTCTCAGGATGACCCAGGTGTTGTTGACTGTTTTTGCTCTTTTGGGGGGGGGAACCACCAAATCTGATAGGATAGGCACAATCCTCCAGCCTGGCCCTGGGTCCATCTGAAAGCCCAGCCCAGCAGTGGAGCTGGCTTTGAAGAGCTGGGAAGAAACCAATAAGCAAAATTATTCCAGCTAATGTGTGATGGACCTGGATCTCCAGGGATCCTTCATAGGCTCACTTCTCTTAGCTCATTTCTGCTGTCAGTCTTGGATCCCTAAGAGAGATGGAGAACTCTCCAGGATAGACAACACAGTGGGAACCCTGGCCTGAGAATTGGAAGTGTGAATTGAGGTTCTCAAAGGAAAAAAAGTCATACCTGTGCAAAGAGTCCAAAAATCTGACCGACTGATTAGAAACTTCTGTGGTCATGGAGAATTGGGTTATTGTAGGTTCAGAACCAAATTATGGAGTGCTATTTTTAGCTCTCTTAGCCATTCATTGCTC